GGCCAGCCACGCCCCTGCGGCTCGAAAGATGCGCCTCGGCCGCTTGCGCGCGCAGCTCGCCCCTCCCAGCGCGGGGCCGTGGGGTGCCCTCCCCGGGCGGGCGCGCAAAGCGGGGCCCCGCCGCACTGCGGGCAGCGCCACTGCCCGCGCAGCCTTGATAATCTCTCCCCTTCATGCAGCAGGAAGAGGGGCCTGTGGGGGCGGGGGGGATATTCAAATTGTAGGCCCCCCCCTTCACTCCTCATGACAACATCAGGCGAGCCCCTGCTCCGTCCCGTCCGCCTGAGGGCAAGGGTCCTGTTCGCAGCCCCGGCCCCGCCTGCCTCGGCGTCTCCTCCATCTGAAATCACAGAGGCCCGTCACCTAGCAACCATGGCCGGGATCTCAAACAAACCCCTGGATGGTGGAAGCTGCTGCTCCCAGTCCGCGCCGGCCCGAGGAGCGCCCTGCCGCTGAAGGATGCCGCCCACCAGGGGCTCCTTCCCTTGCTGCAGCTGTGACAGCCAAGACACCTCCGGGGGCAAGGCTGGGACCTCCCAGGTAAGGGGCATCTAGCTCCCTCTGCTCTCCATCGGGACTTTACGCTGCGTAGTGATGAACCGGATCCAAGGAGCAGCAAGGCAGGTGGTGGTGATCATGCCCGGCTCCTCTTCATCTTGATCCTGGCTCCCTTAAATGCGTTTCCCTTCCTTTCCCCAAAGCACATTTGATCGGGTTAAACTGGGAGCTCTCTCAGCCCAGCCCTTGACTTCGGATGCAAGCAGGCGGAGCGATCGTGTCCGCGCCTCTGCCAAAATGCATCTGCCTCTGGGGTGGAACGCAGCCGCGCTTGTGCACGGGATGGCAACATTGAGCAACAGGTTGATAAGAAGGAATTTAGATTGTAGGGAGGAGGGGGCAGAGAGAGAGAGAGATGCGAATATAATCCCCCAGATTAGACTCTGCCCTACAGGAGGGATCATATCTTTGCTCTTGTGAAAGGTACCATGGGGAGCCCAAATCCAGCGGCTGCTTGTGAAAACGCCGACCTTCATTCCCTCTCTTTATAGGCTGTGCACATAACACAGGCTATAATTTTTTGAAGTGTGCCTGCAAATCGTATAACGTAGCAGAGGAAACTCAAGGACAATGCAGTGCACACAAATACTGTAACTCCCCTTCTCTGTAAACTGTAAAGAGTTCATATCAGGGTGCAATTTTAAAATGAGCTTTTTGGCATTTTACAACTGCCTGGTACACATTCCTCAGGACGCTGCTGTAATAACAGGGAGCATAAATTTATGCTGGGTGCAGCTGTACAGAGCTCAGTGCAAGATCTGAGCCTGAGTTAGCATCGTTTGGTACCATAGCACTGAATGGCTTTGGGCACAGCCTGGTTTAGCCCGATTGCCTGGACACCATTAATAAGCACAGAAATGGTCCAGAATCCCACAGCTTTGATCAAGATAATCCAGGACATAATCTCCCTAGCAGAAGAACAAGGGATACTAGCAGACAGAAGGGGTTTTTACAGATATTTAAACTGCAAGGCAGAGGTTTGTTAAAGGCAATCACTGGAAAGGTAGCTGGGGAGCATTCTCTTGCAACTAAAACCTTTGTTACAAGTCCTGGCAGTCTGAACGGTGCTGGGGGAGATGCCTCCCCTTTAAAAGGCAAAAGCCTATGTGGAGCATCTTTTACAGCACTTTTGGGATCCCCTGCACAGCTCTAATGGCATGTAAGGGTGCTGCCTAGACATACCTCCTGCAGTAGCACTCTATAGGCCCATGTGCCACACTTGACTGTTCTGCACTGGGCATGAGGTTCACCACAGGATGCTCCTGGCATACGAGATCTAGACAGCAGGCTTCTCCAAGCATGCACTATTGCTAGTTCTTCCTCTGTTCCAGAGAGGTTCTCTTATGGAGCTCGCTCCCCTTGCCCAGGAGCAGGACCCTTGGAATCGCCTGCATGCAACACCCACCTTGTCTAGCATCAGGAGGGAAGTCTGGTACCTGGAACCTGGGGTAAGGAGATAGCACTGCTGTACCGTTCTACCCTTCCTATTCCCCCCCTCCCCCCAAACAGCTCCCTCCCCACACACAGACTAGAAACAGATGTCGCGTTTGTCAGGACCAGTTGTGCCATGACTTGTCCCAGAAAGGAGAAGTCATGAGATGGATGAGTCCTCATGTGTCTCTTCCAAGCAGGTTGAGTGCCTGTATGCACAGCCAGTGCCCAGGCAGGGGGGAAAGGGGAATTAAAATCTGAAGCGCATTTGTACAGATAAAACTTTCCAGTCCAAATCTCTCTCCTTCCCCAGAATCACCCCATGCTGGCTGGATGGTTCAAGCCAACAACATAAAACAGCCAGGCAAAGGCCATCAGTGGTGAATGGTGTTTGGTCTCATTTACTCACTTTGTCTCAGCTTCGCTCTCTGTCCAGTGTCCCTTCTCCATTCTCATGCAGCATCCTAAAATGGAGTCATGTCCTTCCCCCTCCGCAGCTGTAACACTGGGGCTCACCAACAGCCCAGGCAGAGGGGCACTGCCAAGCTGCCTGTGTTCTCCTGGGAGAACAATACTTCACATTTCTATAGAGTATAAAATCAAAGCACCAGCCCAACATTACTTGGCTTCAAGGTGTTTCAGCCCCTTGGAAGCTGGCTATTATATCCATTTTACAGAAGGGAAAAAGAGAGACAAAGCAGCTTGCCCAGGGCATGAATGTGCAATGGTTCTGTAAACACAGGTGGATTATAGAAACTAGGAGTCCTCAGTCATAGACATCTGTCCTGAATGTTACCCTATCTAAACTGTGACAACATTCAGAAGTTGATAGCCAGGCCCCCAGTTTTGCTATTGGATTGGGCAGGTTTTTCAGTGTGCAACTCCCTATTGAGACAAATGTAGCTAGTCTTGACTCACTGGCCCTGGGGAACTACTACAGGCATCACACTGGGATGACGGTTCCTCTAGTACACACAGATTTATAGGAGACTGTTCCTCCTAGATCCCATCTATTAACATGTGCAGCAACTTTGTCTGATCGCCTTTGGCAGGTTCCCCAGGACAGCTTGGACTTTAACCTGAGCTCGTTGTATGACCACCACAAGGAGTTGCTCAGAGACAAGAACCAGGTAGTCATCCACAAGGAGACCCTCCTTGATGACCATGGGTGAGCACAATCACATGTTTTTCCAGAGCCCAGACTATAGTGCAGCTACTGCTAGAAATAGCTTTTTCATGCCAACCAGGGTGCCATTCCCCTAAGCTGGGAGGGAGCCAGCAGCTCTGCCACCCCCACATGTGACCTCATATATACGTGCTGCAGCCAACATGGCCTAAGGCTCCAGCTTGTGTCTTAGCCTTTGTTAGCCTTCTGCTAAGTTAAAACCTCAGGCAGTGCCCATCATTTCCCACATTCCCCATTGCCATCAGTCTAGAGCTGCTCTTACTTAACTGGGATCTGAAGGAGCCTAAATTCAGCTGCCACCAAGATTGCATGGAAGACTAGCAGCAGCAGCACCTTGAGGCTAGCATCGTGTCCAAGGCCAGAATGGGATGCAGAGTACCAGAGGGTAGGACACAGCTCACCACACCACCAGCTTACCTCAGTCTTGAGAGCACAAGGCAAGAGAAACCTATGGGATAAATGCATCAGAGCGGGCAGTTCTTTTGATGCCCCCCTTACTACACCATTCAGTTGTATGGCATATCTATTATACCCAGAGGGATTCAGCCTCCACATACCATGATTACTTTGGGTCAAAAGAGCACTGGAAAGAGACAGGGGTTTAGAGTCTATATGCTAGGACACAGATCTCCCATATGAAGCTGCTGTCCACATATAGTTGAGGCACTAAAGGGTTTGGAGCTGCTTGCCCATTCCCACAGGCTGCAACTGCTTACCCTGAGGCTCTTGAACATTTTTATTCCAGTTGCACAAATTTCAACCCTGCAGCAAATTGAGTAGGATCAGGGCAGCAACAAGTCCCTTAGCCAGACTATGCCCAGGCAGGAACCTGCTGGCTACCCCTCCCACTTCCTCTACCAGCAATTCAGGTGCTGGAATGCACAGTATGGCCTCATTCACACCAACCCCAACTTTGAAAGGACTTAATTGAGAGATACCACGATAGGAATCTGTCATCTGATCACAGGATGCTAAAGTTTTAAAGCTACTTCTGCTAGAAAAGTCTGGAGTTAAAATACAGACGAGCAAGAAGGATGAACTGTTATTAGATTTCATAGATTTTGTTTCATAGACATTAGGGCTGGAAGGGACCTCAGAAGATTATTGAGTCCAGCCCCCTGCCCAAGGGGCAGGAAGTCAGCTGGGTTCATAGGATCCCAGCAAGAAAAACATCCAGGTTTCTCTTGAAGGCGTTCAAAGTAGGTGCTTGAACCACCTCCACTGGCAGGCCATTCCAGACCTTGGGGGCTTGGACAGTAAAGAAATTTTTCCTTATGTCCAGCCTGAAACGGTCTTGCAGGAGTTTATAACCATTCAACCTTGTAATCCCTTGGGGCGCTCTGGTGAACAAACATTCCCCCAGATACTGGTGAACACCCCTTATAAACTTATAGGTGGCCATCAGGTTGCCCCTGAGCCTGTGCTTTTCCAGGCTGAAGAGTCCCAGGGCTCTCAACCTCTTGTCATAAGGTCTGTTTTCCTGACCTCTGATCATGCGCTTGGCTCTCCTCTGGACTCCCAAGCTTTTCCACATCCTTTTTGAATTGTGGAGCCCAAAACTGGACGCAGTACTCCAGCTGTGGCCTCACCAAGGCCAAATACAACGGGAGAATGACGTCCTAGGATTTGCTTGAGATGCATCTATGGATGCAAGCCAGCTTTTTGCTCGCTTTACTGGCTGCAGCATCACATTGAAGGCTCGTGTTCATCTTGTGGTCAATCCTGACCCCCAAGTTGCTCTCGTCCATAGTGCTAGTCAGCATAGCACTGCCAAACCTATAAGGATGCTGCAGGTTTTTCCTCCCAAGGTGGAGAACCTTGCATTTTTCAGTGTTAAAAACTATCAGGTTTTCGTCCGCCCATTTACTGAGCCTGTCAAGGTCAGCCTGGATTACCTACATCCTTGGGTGTGGATGCTTTACCCCAAAGTTTGGTATCATTGGCGAACTTGGCCAGTCCACTTCTGACTCCAATGTCCACATCATTAATGATGAGGTTGAACAAAATAGCTCCAAGGACGAGCCTTGAGGGACCCCACTGGTCACAGCGCGCCATGACAATTGACTTCTGTCAACCACCACCCTCTGGGTCTGACCACGGAGCCAATTTCCCAGCCAGCGGATCGTGGTGGACCTGAGGCCACAGTTGGCCAGTTTTGCCAAAAGGTGATCATGGGATACCAGATCAAAGGCTTTTTTAAAATTGAGATATATGACATCAATCTATTTCCCCTCTTCCCCCTTGTCCAGGTGATAAGTCACCTGGTTGGAAAAGGAAATGAGATTGGTCAAGCATGACCTACCCGCAACAAACCCATGCTGGCTGTCCCTCAGGGTGCTGCCATCTGCCAGTCTGTTAAGGATGGCCTCCTTGATGATTTTTTCTAAGACCTTCCCCAGGATAGAAGTCAGGCTGATGGGCCTGTAGTTTGCTGGATCCACTTTCCTCCCTTTCTTGAAGATAGGCACCACATTGGCCTTCTTCCAATCATTGGGCACTTCACAAGAGCACCAGAAGCACTTGAAGATCCATGCCAGGGGCTGGGCTATGATGCTAGCCAGCTCCTTGAGTACTCTGGGGTGTAAACTGTCAGGGCCGGCTGACTTGAAGGGGTCCAGCCCCTCAAGCTGTTCCTTCACCAGGTCAGCATTGATGGAAGGCAAGGAACCACCCTCGCTTAAGCGTCCCTGTCCCATAATGGGTAGGGGCGTCCCATGGGACTTGTGAAAGACTGACGTAAAGTACCCATTTAGCAAGTTGGCTTTTTCCTGGGCGTTGGTCGTTGGTTTAGCAGGGGTCCAGTGTTGCCCTTGCTTTTCCTCCGGCTCCCCACATATCTAAAAAAGGACTTTTTATTGTCCTTGATACTTGTAGCCAGTTGTAGTTCCATCACAGCCTTGGCTTTCCTGGTTCGCTTCTTGCAGGTCTGGACCAGCACAGAGTATTCCTCCTTGGAGGTGGATCCCGTCCTCCATCCTTTCTGTCTTTTTAGATGCAGCAGGACCACCAGTTCCCTGGAAAGTCAAGGGGGCTGCTGTGCCCTCTTGCTGCCTTCCTCCAAGACGAAATAGCCTAAGTAGGAAGCAGATCATGTTCTCAGCATCATCCAAGAAGTGTCTTCGTATATCCTGTAAAATCCATATCTAGCCCCTTGCTGGGGAGACTACCAGTAATAACAAAAGAGAAACTTCAGGTTAAGCTTGCTGCTTAAAACTGTTACTAAACTCTCCCCGCCCATAAGTTTCTCTAAGCAAAAAATATTCCCTCTCCCCATTGGTTTTATATCCTGGGCTTGTTAACAAGCTGCACGTAAATCAGCCAAACCAGCAGAACATTACTCAGCAACTTGCTAGTGGCTGCCATCCCTGCAGCAGGACAGGGCAGTCACTGGAAGAGCCCTGTGTCAGCCGGAAGCCAGGGAATCCCAGATCTTACTTCATTTCTCCTGCTAGTCAGACACAGAGGAGGAAGACAGACTGTGTGTTGTGCTTCCTGGCAGCTGGCATCTCCTCACTGTTAGCAGTTGCCAACTCTTATTTTTTTCTTACAAGCTTCAGGGTATTTGTGGGGTCTTTCTTCAAGTGCCAGCTTACAGTCAGGTGATTGTGAGGATATGAGCTCTCTTTCTTTTCTTTTTTTAAAATGAAAGTTCCTAGTCCCCTGGCTTTCAGAAGAAAGGCTGAAAGCATGACCCAAGTGTGACTTACCAGGTTCAAAACCCACAATGTAAATACTAATTCCTAACATGTAAAACCTCACGGTTGAGGAAGGTGGCGGCAACGGGGCTGGCTCATAATTTCTAAATGCTTGGGACTGACAAAGCACTAATAGGAAATTAGCACAGAGAAAGACTATCACATTATTATGCACAAGTGGTTGCTACTAGGGGAAGAGAGGCACAATAACATGGCATTTCTCATTCAAAAGATCTGTTCTGCAGTCAGACCCAATAACATGGACAGCTGTGAGCAAGGAGCAGGTTACTGCCTTTGCTGGGATCAACTACTAGATGCATTAAACCAGATCCACGGTGTTTTATTTGTGTTATAGTTGCACCCACATGCCTTATAAAGAATCCAGGCTACATAGTGTCAGGTGCTATACACCCCCCTCAGAGAAAGGTAGCGTCTGTCTGAAACAGCATCTAATACATCTCGCTATTCACTACAGAGTACTGAAGGGGCTCGACTCTGTACAGGAACCTAAGCCACTCCCTACTGAGAGCCGTATGTCCCAGGGACTGCCTATGAGATGCTGGGTCAGCCCGACAAAGGAATCAGTCCACAGCATCAAGGGCACAATCGGTAAGGGTAGTGGGCAGGGGTTGTTCCTTTAATGTGCGAAACGGAGGCATCTCCCTGTAGACAGATGCTCTGCAATCGTCGCAGCTGTTTTAGGTATCCTGGTCTCACTGTAGATGTGATTCAGTGTGGCCCAATCCTGTTTGAAGCATGTTAAGAAAACTAGGCTGCAATGATTTAGAGACAGGATCCAAGGCAGAGAGAGAGCCTAGCTGTCACAGACAATGAGCATCTACTATTCCAGCTAAAGACAACAGGACGTACATATGCTCAGCCTTGCTAAAAATCAAGCATCATGGGCTTCACCCAAGATGATTCAGGGAGCCTGTGTCAGAGCCAGAAAAGCACTGGAGTCAGAAAGGACTCATGGACAAAGTGCTAGGCTGAGAGTTAGGAGACCTAATCAATGGTACCAACCAGCTGCTGTTTTGGGGTAACACACCTCCACCTTCTGTGCAAGAAGCAGTGGCACCAATATTCCTTTGTAATATATTTTGGATTCTACGAAAAAATGCCCTGGGGGAGCCAAGTGTTCCCATTACCAGTAGCAGGATTTGTTTGGTAATACCTTTTATTGGACCAACTAGAGGGTTGAGAGAGATGTTAAACAAGTTTTCAAGCAAAAAATGCCTCTCTGAGGATAAAATACAGTCTAAACTAAATACCAGGTAGAATAATTATCTCTCTCCCAACTGCATAGTTGGTCCGAAAGAAGGTATTACCAACAAATCCTGCATCTTGGGATTATGGACAGTCATATCTATAATACCACTGCAGCACCGCTATCACTGTCAGCTGTAGTCCCAGCTCAGAATGACACTACATGAAGTCTGCCCCAGCGGTGCTATTTTAGGACACTTTCAATGCTTGTAGGCCTAACAAGTGCATGCCTCCTTCTTCTTCCAGAGTGCCCACATAATGCTTCCACCAACAGCGGGTACTCCCGCAAAGATAACGGAGGCTTCTTTTCTCAGTGAAGACTGTGCCAGCCTTTGCCACTGCTGCCGGACTGGATCTTCTTTGGATGAACATAACTCTCATCCCCTTTGCACTCTACTAAAGCCCTTCATTCAGCTAAGCCCACCAAAAGAACACAGCTCTGGTATTTCATTTCCATGTTTTTTCCTTTCTTTTCTACCTCACCCTTCTGTCCATTCCAGATAAATGCTCCATCCCTCATTATGGAGGGACTGTGTGTAGTTGTCCTGGCACACAAGCAACTACTGCCCAGAACACATTACACCAGAGGTGGGCAAAATGTGACCCATCAGGCCATTCTATCCGGCCCACGGGCCCCTAAAAAATTTAGAAAATTAATATTTATCTGCCCCTGGCTGCCTGTCACGTGGCCCTCGATGACTTACCAAAACTCCATAAGCAGCCCTCCGCCCAAAATAATTGCCTGCCCCTGCATTACACTATCTCTGCATCTCCAATTTGGCTCCAGCCACCCAACTTTTATCAGGCTAGATTCAAATAGTCTCAAATTCTGGTGACCCAAACTTCAAACACTCTGGATGGGACATTTCAAAGTTGTGGAGTATCAATCTCTCCTTGCGAAGCAGCATGTGGCCATTCATGCCTTTTATCAACCTGGGCTACTGAAAATGGAGAAACCTATGATTAAAGCCTACTTTCTAGGACGAGGGCCTCAAACATTAGCAGTTGCTTATTTACTGAAGAAATAGGGATGCTCAATGAAGTGAAAAGGCAGCAAATTTAAAACTAATAAAAGGAAATGTATTTTCACATAGCACTTAGCGGGACGGTGGAACTCCCAGCCCCGGGAAGTCACCGAGGGGAAGAATTTGGCAAGACTGAAAAAAGGGACTGAGGCACTGAACAGGAGGGAGAGGCAGCTATTTTAATCAAAACAAGTTTTGGCTGAAAATCCGAGCCAATGCCCCAGCACATGTGGTCTTATTCAGGCAGCCACCCCTGCCCCTGCTTTGCACTGCCTAAGGTCACCAAAGGGCAGGCTAAGACTTCAGGAAGGGCACACAGAATCTCAGTCCCCTAGTTTGTGAGGTTACAGCATGACACTTGCTGTGATATTTGGTGCAGCAGACAGTGCCATAAGGGTTTACAGAAAAGGAGCAGTGAAATGTACTTTTGTGCCAAATGTGCTGGCCCAGCTGGGAGACTGGCACCAACATCTATTAATTAATTGTAATAGTTTCTCTCACTTCAGAGCATGCTATCAGCTTCTACGGCAGTTAGTCATTAGCAAATCCTTCCCACCCACTCATGGGATTTCTCCACCCTCACCTCCCACATCCATTGCTGGATTCAACAAAAAAAACCAAACCAACCATTCAGCTTGGGGCCATATTAAGTACTCTTCCAATATTTGCTATAGAACAACTGTTATATCACTAGGCTTGGTGAAGCATGACAGTACCCCAAGGGCACCCAGGAACTAGAGCAGGGGTGGGCAAAATGCAGCCCAGGAGCCAGATGCGGCCCGCCAGGCCATTCTATCCAGCCCACGGGGCCCCTAAAAAAAATTAGAAAATTAATACTGATCTGCCCATAACTGCCTGTCATGCGGCCCTTGATGGCTTGCCGAAGCTCAGCAAGCGGCCCTCTGCTCAAAATAATTGCCCGCCCCTGAACTAGAGCCTACAGCTCACATGGTGCCAGGCTCTCAGCTGCCACATTTACACATGTAAGGTATCCAGCCCATCACCATAGGGAGGATATGGCAAACAGGATGGCTTTGGATGCCAAAACCAAATGTGCTCTCAAACTCCACACTGAAAGGTCTAGAAGCAGGAAGGAATTAGAACAAAAAGCTGGAGCCATTTGAATGGCTGTAATCCTAGCCTCCAAACTAAACTGACTACTGTGTGAAAGTAACTCCAAATAATTGAAGTAATCCATCATCCTGCAGCTTTCTTTTCTTTGGGGAAACATTAAGCCAGTGGCTTGCAACCTTTTTTAGACTCCAGACCACCCTGGTTAGACTAAAAGCCCCCACTCTGAACATGCCAACATCCCTCATTTTTTGACTACAGAAAAATACTAGAGCAATTCTTCCATGGGCAGAGGCTAGGGCTTTGAAGAGGGGTGCAGGTGGTATAGTACATCATCACATACAACACAACACAATTTTTTTCTCCAGGTAAAAGAGAAATTAGCTTTAATAATGTGCTAGGCCTAGAGTGGTAATATTCAGTTTTAAGATTGAAGCAAAAAACAAAGGCCATTTTATTGGCAAATGCATTGCATGTAAAAAACCACAATACATTAGGCAAAAAATAATCAAAAGATGTTGCTTCTTTTGTCCTATTGCAGTTAGATTCATAAAACAAAGTCTAGCCTTGAACATCTTGGCAGTGCACCTAATGCTTTACTGGAAGTTATTTCCACACCCAAGTTGATGTACACCTGAGTTAATATTTTTAGCTAGAGTTAAAAAGTGCTGGGCTGTGAACTAGAAACTACATTCAGAGAAGCAGCTAACAAGCAGCAGAATTGCAGAAAGCTTCTCCACAAGTGGAGCATCAAGATGATCTGAAAAGGATGGATGGGGCCCTTAACACCTGTGGGTTGAAGAGTTTAGAAGAATTAGGTCAAGTACAATGAGCCATAAAATCAAGTCACTCCCTCCTACTGTCTGAAAAGAAATGCTGCTGCCCCAAGTAGGTTTTAAATTTTGGGCGGAGCAGGAATCAAAGCGGATGGGTGTATGACTGCACCCCCTGGATTCCTCCATTGCAAAGAACTCAGGAAGACCAAGACAGGGCAGAATGGTTTCCTATTTGAAATCTCTGGGTTTATTCCCGTGAAATGTGTTTGCACACCTCAGCATGTGGCACCCGCAACATGCCTGAATGGCTCTCAAGGCACCGGGAGTGCCCTAGCCTCTTGCTTAGGAAGCCCTGCCTTTCTACCCTGCAGACAAGGTTATTTGGGCGAATTGCTTCTCGGCCTCTTAAAGGCTCAGATCAAGCGCGGTCGCTTATTAACCCGGCAGGGGCAATACCATGCATCTGTGTCCAGGTTGCCACACCAACTGCAGAGACCTCCTCAGCCTGACGAAGGGTTTTTAAACTCAAAAGCTTACTAAAAATTGTTTTTCCAACTACTTAAGTTGGTCTAATAAAAGATATCAGAGTCACCCAAAGAACTTTGTCTACCCGTGTCCTTAGACCAACACGGCTACAGCCTACACCCTCACGTCCGAGAAGGCAGGTTTCCTGCCCCGCCCCAAATATCCGCTCTCCTGGCTGGTTCGGTTCCCACTGCGGTGCAGCAGCTTTAAGCCCGGTTTCTGGAAATGGGAGTCTCCTCCCTCGCTCGCTCTTGCAGCCGTATGGCTGGGGGCAAGCAAAACTTGGGGTATCTGAACCCTACGGCTCCAAGCTTGGGCCTGCACGTAGGATGCCCACCAAAGGATTTGGAAATACCCGACACCCCAGGTGCGGGTGGAGGATGTTTGCTGGTAGTCGGGCCACTTACGGTTCTGGACTTTTGGATATGGATTTAGTTTTGGCTAATTTGGCCTCAGATAGAAAATTAAAATACAAAGAAGAGTCTGGTATCTTTTATTAGACCAGCTTAAATAGTTGGGAGAAAAATTCTTACCAAGCTTTCAGGTTTAAAGACTCTTGGTCAGGCTGAGAAAGCACTTTGCTAGGAAGGGAGGAA